GCCAGTGGCTGGCTTCCTCCTCTGTTTCAAGTTTCTGACACAGAGACCCCTGAGTGCGTTCTTAAAGGTTGAAATTGTTGGCAGGTGATAGTGGAGCGCTACCCCAGAGAGAGGTTCCTGCCTCTGCTAGACAAGACCAAGTTCCTGGTCCCACAGGAGCTGACCATGACCCAGTTCCTCAGTATCATCCGGTAGGTGACACACTGCGTGTGTGTGTGTGTGTGTGTGTGTGTGTGTGTGTGTGTTCACAGTTGTTTTTTAGTTTTGCTGTAAGGCTTGAGGCAAGCCAGAAACAGAGAGGGGAAGTGAGAAATCACCTCACAGAGGGGGTGACCACACTGCAATCCCTTTTCCTTGGGATTATGGACATGCATGCACACATCCCCAGAGTACTTTGGTTTTGTTTCGTTTGTTTTTTTAAGAATTATTTAACTTTATTATTAGGAAAGTGAGAAAGCAAGCCACCAGGCCCAGGACTTGAACAGAGGTTGGCCACGTGGGAGTCAGCACGCTTAACCACCACACTACCTGCTGGCCCCAAGCTACCAGGTCTAGGACTTGAACCACACAGTCTGCTCTGTGGGATCCAGCTGCCTTAACCACTATGCCTCTGCTGGTCTTTATTTTGTTTTAACTAATTGTTTAAGAGCATTCTGGGTTCCTTAGGTTCAGATTAGTGCAGTGTGAACAGGAGGCGGCTAAGGAGTAATAGAGTCAGGGTTAGATCCACACATGCTGGTCTATCATAGGCGACAATCCCCACCGCGACACAAAGCCCTTGGTGTCTGAAAAGCTGTTCTTTTTCCTCTTTCAGTCATAGACCCTCTGTCCCCAGTGGCCACTCCTTACCGACATCTTATCCCAACGTTTTGATGCTCCTCAGTGTTCACTATACATCGACTATTGGGTTGTTGGGAAAGTCATGCTGCGTTTTTTCATAGAAAGATATATCACAACTTTCCCAACGACCTAATATGTTCTGGGTGCTTTCTAGGCTCTGCGGATCTGACCATATACAGAGTAGACATAACCCCTGCCCAGAACCTCCTCCCTGACAGGATGCCTCAACATGCATCCAAAGGGAGCCTGGCAAAACACAGATGGCAGTGCCAGCTCTGACAACAGCTGTGCTGCCATCCCAGTCCCGCCCACTCCTATTGCAAAGCTAATGGTTAGCTTTTACTCCAAAGCAGCTGTAAATTGTCAGGACTAAAGCCACTGGGGTTATTTTGGGAGAGATTATCAGGGTGTAAAACGAATCAGCTCCATCTCCCACTGCTGTGTAGACAGCCCACCTGCAGGTCTGGAGCTCTGAGATCGGTGTGGGCGAGCTGTGCCTGCTTCGCCGATTAGAGAAAATGAGAGCGTGCTTAAAGTTAGGCTGAGCCAGCACCTGGCAGGCTTATCTCACTCCACGAGGAGTCAGGAATCCAACTACCCTTGACATTTAAAACATGCCCAGTTCAGGACCAGCAGTTGGCTTAATGGCTACATTGCTATAGTTGACTGTGGTTCGAGTCCCAGACCCGGTGGCTTAAACCCACGCAGGGCACGTGTGCATGCATGCCCAAGATCCCGAGAGGAGAATGGAGGAGAAGGGATTGTGGTGTGGCCATCACCCTTGGGGGGGTGGGGTGATTTCTCGCTTTCTGTCTGTCTCTCTGTCTTTCTGGCAAGCAAACACGCCCTTTAGCAAAAACTTCTCCAGAAAAATGCCCAGCTCTGTGGCCAATAGGTGGCATACTGGTTAAGGCACTGGACTCCCATGTGGTTGACAGTTTGAGTACCAGACCTGGTGGCTTTAAACTTGGACCAGGACTATGTGGGTGTGCATTCAATATCCCAAGAGGAGAATAGAGGAGAAGGGATTGTGTCATGGACATCCCCCTGGAGGGTGATTTCTTGCTTTCTGCTTCTCAGTCTCTCTCTCTATAGAGAGTACATGCCCCTGTTAGCAAAAATCTCTCTCAAAAAAGGAAAAGAAAACCATGCTGTGTGTGCATGCCCAAAATCCCAGGAGGAAAATGAAGGAGAAGGGATTATAGTGTGGCCAACTCCTCGGGGGTGGGGGGGGAGTTGGTCATTTCTCACATTTCTTACTTTTCTTCTGTCTCTCTCCAGTAACTGCACACACCCTGTGGCAAAAACATTAAAAAAAAAAAAAAAAAAAAAAAGTCCACTTCACCTTTGCTGCTCCCATTATCTCTAAAGTATGGAGAAACATAGGGTGAAGGAAGGGCACATCTTGAGAAGGAGGTGTGCTATTCAAGGCTCTTCAACAGTGAAATGCCAGAGAGATCATGAATCACCTTAGTACTTACCTTAAATTCGCAGGCAAACTGGTGCTCATGTACTTAGCACTTTTGTGTTGGCATGTCTCCTAGTTAACAAAAGGATGGCCTTACCTTTGGGGTCCAATCGGGAGGCCTTCTAGATACTAAATCTCCAGGGAGGAAATAGAGAGCAATTCAGCTTTGAGTATCATGATCCCGCAGATTTCTGGGCTGCTGTCCCAGCCTCCTCACCTCCCCTCTCTCCTCCCCAGGAGCCGCATGGTCCTAAGAGCTACCGAAGCCTTTTACTTGCTGGTGAACAACAAAAGCCTCATCAGCATGAGTGTGACCATGGCAGAAATCTACAGGGACTACAAAGATGAGGACGGCTTCTTGTATATGACCTACGCCTCCCAGGAGATGTTTGGCAGCCCGGGGTCGGCAACCCCTCAGTGATGGAAGGAGCTTCGGAGGAAGACTCTTCGATTCTCTGGAGCCCATGTCAAGAAAAATTTGTTCTCAGACTGATGCATCAGACACTGGCAGAAGGACTGGTATTCTCTGTGTGTACAGTGGAGGCGTCTGGGAAGCAGGGATGCAGGGCAATCAGCTCCGGGGTGACAGCAAAATTGTGACCTACCCTGGCTTACTTTTTTTTGTGCTCTACATCCTCATGTTTTCTCTCTAAGGAAAATGAGGACTGCTCTTGAAAGTTTTATAAATAGTGGCTCTCCTGAGCAGGATACGGTTAGCTCGTGTAAAATGGTTCTGTGCCAGGAGCTGGAGATGTATACTGAGCACTTTCTGTGCTGAAGGCAGGCAGGCTGGTCCTGGAGGAGCCGATTTCACCCCTGCCTGTGGGCCAGAGTTCTGCACATGGCTCAGTCGTGGACAGCCTCTGGCCTGTAGGCTGGTCTCTGTGGAGCCAGGTGAAGCCAGTGTAAACCTCAGGAAGTTCTGGGGGTGCCCTCACCTATGTCATTAGAGAGATTATTCAGTTTCCTCAGCTCCTACTCTACCTGGTTATTTCCTCTTCTGTTTTTTGTCTGTCTTGCATCATACATATTTATGCCACTGTTGTAGCATTTCAATATAAAGTCATTTAAGCCATTTGAGTATTTATTGTGTGCCAAGCTTGATTCTAAGCAACCTGCATGCATTAGCTCCTTATCACAACTTTCTATGGCTAACTGCTACTATCATCATCTTTTGTTTTTAAGAGAGATTTTTGCTATAGGGCATGTGTGCTCACCAGAGAGATAGAAAGTGAGAAATCACCTTCCGAGAGGGATGGCCACAACCCAACCCCTTCATTCTCTTCTTGGGATTTGAGGCACACACACACACACACACACACACCCACACACATGCCCAGTATGAGTTTTAAGTCACTGGGTCGGGGACTTGAACCACAGTTGGCCAGGTGGGAGTATAGCAATGTAACCATTACACCATCTGCTGGTCCCAGTATTATCATCTTCTTACAGATAGGGAAACCAAGGCCCAAGAAGGCTAAGTGCATTTCCCAAATTCACACAACACAGTTCACCAGGACATGAGGTCAGGGAGGTTCACTTTGGAAGCCACACCCCTAGCCCTCTGCTAGGCTCCTTACCTAAGATGTACTACTTACTCGACTCAATGAGTACCTACTAGACCCCAGAGCTATGATGAGTGACACTAATGTTGCCCACAGGAGAGACAGATGTAAGCAAGGGGATGCAGGAGAGCTCCATGAATGTGTCAACGTGAAGTGTTTCATTCAACAGCACAAAAATGAGTTCTCCAGGGAACCAGCAGTTAGCGTAATGGCTATGTCGCTGGACTCCCACGTAGTCGACTGCAGTTCGTGTCCCGGACCCGGCGGCTTAAAACTCACGCCGGGCGCATGTGCATGCGTGCCCAAGATCCCGAGAGGAGAATGGAGGAGAAGGGATTGTGGCGTGACCATCCCCCCTGGGGGGTGATTTCTCACTTTCTGTCTCTATGTCTCTCTCTGTCTGTCTGGCGAGCGCACGCGCCCTATAGTGAAAAAAAAAAAAAAATGAGTGCTCCAGTTGTGCTTAGAGGACATTGGTCATGTAAAGTTTGACAGGGAGTTCAGCTCAAGTTAGGTTTTGAAGGATAGAGTTTGTCTAGGGAGGATTTTTTTTTTTAAGAGAGATTTTTGCTATAGGGTGCACACACTCACCAGAGACAGACAGACAGAAACAGAGACAGAAAGCTAGAAATCATCTCCCAGGGAAGATGGCCACACTGCAGTCTTCTCCTCCTGGGATGTTGGGCACACATGTACATGCACCCAGTGAGAGTTTCAAGCCAGGACGTGAACTACAGTCAGCCACATGGAAGTCCAGTGACATAACCATTATGTCAGCTGCTGGTCTCAAGGAAGGAATTTTATGCATTCATATTCACAAACACTTATTGAGCACTTTGTAGCTGCTAACCACTATTATGGGCCCTGGAAATAACAATATTGACAAGATAAGCAAGGTCCTAGCCCTCACGAAGCTTACTTTAATTCTTGCTAGGAACGGAAGGTGATATTTAGATATTTATAAATACAATGAAGAAGAAGAAAAACAAAATGATTAGCAGATAAAATTCATTATCTCTAGTGAACAGAAAGGGAATAAAATTTACTCAAGCTAGAAAGATGAAGAGGAGCCAGGGGTGGAGGTTGAACATGCCAGATAGAGAGAAGGGTGGCTGTGAAAGTCCTGAGGTTGGATGAGTTTTACAAACAATTCCAGGGTGGGTGCAGCACTAGTGGGGAAGAGAAGCAAGGCAGGTCTATGGGAACTGTACGTTTTGTTAAAGTGTTTGGTCGTTATTCCCACATAGCAAATCACAGTCCAAGTCCCAGACCTACGTGACTTTCTCACTTTCCCACTCTCTCTGTCTCTCTATGGTCAAATTAAAAATAAATTTTTAAAAGTAAATAAAAATAAGTAATTCTTTTTTTAAAAAAAAAAGTGAGAAAGAGAAAGTATTCTAAAGGGAGACAAAGAACATTTGTTGAAGAAGCTAGGCTCAGACAAAGTATGGTTCTCCCTAGGCCCCTCCACAGTGCGGCACCTGGGCTATACCCTCAGCTCATCCCCTGTTCCAGGCTGCTTTCACCACTCCAGGTGGCTGGCCACCTTCTCTCCTGCCTGCAGCTGTTCTTTCCTTCCCAGCGTCCCAGGTCCATGCGGTTCCTCAACACTCATCCTTCAAGTCATCTTTGCCATAAAGCTAGTGAAAACATTGTCTCCCGGATTCATTCTCCAGACATATTCTTGTTGGTTCACCTTGATCAATGAATATATATTGTCCCCAAATAAATCTACTGCCTAGGATGACTCTGAACTTTATGAGAGATCTTTGGCCCTCAGTATCCCTTAACTGCCCATGCCCAGAGTGCTCCTCCTGCTCTCAGCCTTCTCCAGGTCCTTGGTCTTTCTTGGATCAAGGTTTCTAGGATTGCCACTATACTACAAACAGAGGGTCCTCTCTTGGGTTTGTTGTTGGATGAGCTCTGTGTTCTATTGGTCTTCAAAATCCTTTTTGATGTCACTTCCCCTAGTACCTTAACCTCTTTGGTTAAAACCGAATGACTACAGCCACTGTCTTCATGGTGGGCATTGTTCAAGAACCAGCCAAAAGTCAGTGCACAAAACAGCAACAACTTCACCAAGCTCATGGAGTCTGTGGGTAAGAGGATTTCAGAAAGCACACAGTGGTGGCAACTTTCTGAAGACTTGGCTGGGAGACCAGAGAGGCTGGGAGTAGAATCACCTCTTCTTCTCCATTCTCATGTTCATCCCTTAACAACTCAAGGGTGGGTACAGCTGGGACTGAAAACTGAAGTGACTCCAGGTGGCTCTCCAGCATGATGGCTAATCTCCAGGAGGGAGCATCCACTTTAGGGGCAGCAGGAGAGTGTATGACCCAAGGAACCAAGATAGGAACTGACCTATCAATAGGTGATGGATCTAATCACTTCTATTCTAAATGGCTTCCTTTCAATTTTTTTTTAGCATCTACTCAGATACTTAAAATGAGAGATTTGTACTTCTGTGAATTACAACCACTCTTGTAGGCTAGTCTTAATCTTTTACTAAATTTTGTTAGTTAAGCAATTATTTTATGCCAAGTGTATTATAAATAATTACACAGTTCCTTTTGATCTTGTTTATAGAAGGTTTTCTCATGTAGATGCTTTAATTTTTTTTTTAAAGAGATATTTTTGTGGGACCAGCAGTTAGCGTAATGGCTATGTCGCTGGACTCCCATGTAGTCGACCACGGTTCAAGTCCCGGACCCGGCAGCTTAAACTCACGCCAGGTGCATTTGCATGCGTGCCCAAGATCTCGAGAGGAGAATGGAGGAGAAGGGATTGTGGCATGGCCACCCCCCCCCTTGGGGGTGATTTCTC